CTGCTATTGTACTTGTGCTCTTATAAATTGGACGGTTCTGCTACATGCAAAATACCTCTAGGATAGTTTGGGTGATTTACTAGGCTCAAGATAGCTAGGTTTTGAGCTTGTTTTACTAAGTGTGGCTATAGGTTTAGGATCAAACTTATAGATATAAGGACTTGAGGGTGAACCATGAGATTAAGATAAAAACCTTGGCTCTGAGATCTGAGAGCTTCCATAGCGAAAAAGTTGAAGATCCAAACCTTCTCTACTCTTGCTTCTTTATCCACAAGTTTGCTTGGCTCCATATGAACCCTCTCTTGCAATATACCAAAAAGATGGTTCAAAGTACTATCCATGAAATCATTGGATGATTGAACTAGATAAGAACTCCATGAGCTTACTTACACACGATGGAACTACCATCAACAAGAAGTCTTCAATCTTGCATGAAAATCCATGGATTAGCTCATTGGGTGAAAAATCCAAGAAAAGAGGATGGTTCTTCTTGAGCTCACCATGAAGGGGTTGAGGGGTGAAGGGTGTCCATGGGCTACAGCTGGTGCTTCCCTTCTTCCTCTCCTTAATCTTCTTCAATCCTTCCTCGAATCCCTCCCCTCTCTAGCTTCTAGGGTTCTTGCTTGCTCTTGAGTGAGTAGAGAAAGAGAGTGAGTGTTGCAAATGGGAGGATGAGTGAGAGAGAGTGGCTTTAGCTGAGAAATATCTATCTCAATTCACGCTGACATGTGGGTCCCACCCACTTAAGTGATAAATAACTCATTTCCCACTTACTGCTGCTGCACTATGATCTATCGGATGGTCTGATGGCATTGTTGGACTGTTCGGTAGATTGTTGTTTTTGCTGAATTAGCTCAACTATCGGGTGGTTCGGAATTGAGGACTGAGTTGTCATGTCATGGTGAAATCTTTGTGGTTGGGTTGATGTTGATGATGTCAATAGGATGTCTCTTAGTCCAACTGGGTTTCTCTTCATCGCTCTAGGTATGAACCTGATCATGGCTATCCGGAGAAGGTTGTGGGTTCCCTTTTGGTTGGTTCTTGACGGTTGATCTTGATCAAGGCATCCGGAATCTGTACAGGATCTCAAAAGATTGCTCGCTCAGATGACCAAAATGACTGCCTATACTTTACAGCCACACTTTCTTTGGCAGCCACAGTTACCAAAGGTTAGGCATGGCAAGTTTTGGTCACCAACCAAACAGGCCCATAGAATGTTGCAGTCCCTGATTTGTCTCCAGGTGGGCATGTTTCCGTAAGATAAGCACATCTACATCGACCAACCAATAATTTGTATGATAAACTGGCTTTCCTAATTGACAATGAGAGTTGATTTCTACTTATTGCACTACTAAAAACTCGAATAAGTCTGTGTGTGCATAAACCGACAGAAAATACGTATCCCGGTAGGAAAATATTTTTGTGACGGTCTGCGCAAAAGACAGCCACACACAGCACCACTTGGACATGCAGAAAGTAGATCACCAAAACATGAACACCGGATGGGCCAGCGATGGCAAAAAAGTGAACACCGGACAATAGTACTCGCTGTGGCCCACGCAGATGTGCATGCATGGGACTATCTGACGATATATAGTGCTGTAATTTAATCTATGAATGCCTACCAGCAAGGACCGTTCACTACTATAGTAAACTTAATGGAGGTGGGCATTTTTTATTTTTGGAGGCGGGCAAAGGCAAACGCCTCCGTCCAAAGGTCACGGTTAATCCGTGAATAACGGAGGTGGTTGCCTGGCCGCCTCGGTTAATCAGGTAACGGTAATGGTTGCCTAGCCATTGGTTGCTAGATCCGCGAGCCCTGATGATAGATCTGCGAGCCCAGTCCCGAGGTCTGCCATCGGAGGCCTCGCGCCACTGCCGGAGGATGGGAGCCGTGCACTACGCCGATGCCATAGACCTCGTCGGACGCGAGAGGCCCATTGCCACCAGGCACGAGCGGCCCCGCTGTCGCGAGAGCCACCCATGCGGCGGCACTCGCAAGCCACCATCGTGGCCTAGCGTGAGTAGGCCGCCTGGGTGCGAGCACCTCCGACCGGCTCCAGAGAGCGCCCAGCGTGAGAGGAGAAAGGGAGCGCCCACCGGTGAGAGGCGAGAGAGTGGGAGAGAGCGTCCCATGCATGCGTGAGAGAGACGAGAGGGCCATGCTCGTGAGGACTGAGCCTAGAGAGGAGAGAGAGTGGTGTGCGGCGGTGGGTGAGGGATAGAGAGATGGATGTGGATAACCCTAACTCTTCATATATATATATATAGACACACACACACAATAAGTGTTGGGCTGAGATGGGCTGCCTGCTGGGCCACTATTTTTTGGAGGCGGGCCTTATGCGTGACCGTCTCGGTTAATCGATTAACCGAGGTGGGCGCCTTATAACAACCGCCTCGATTAATAGATTAACCGAGGTGGTTACCTTTACACAACCGCCTCACATTAGGTTGCCCGCCTCCAATTAATGATTAACCGAGGCGGTTGCTGGGCCGGCTGCTCGGCCACCGAATAATGGAGGCAGGCAACCTGTCCGCCTGCCTCCAAGCCCTTTTGTCAAACGCCTCGGTTAAATTTTATTGTAGTAGTTGTTGGGGAGGCGCACCTAGGGTTGCTCTTAATAGGCAATGCTACCTAAAATGACCACAAACTCCATTGAGAAGCTGGTATAACAGCATATACTAGGGTTTTAAGAGATAAGATTTGGAAAAGTTGTATTTTTGATTGATTGAATGCCATAATGGGTGGTGCCCCTTTATATTTATAGGGTGGGAGGTCTATCCTAGGCATATATTCCAAATACATCACGAAATAAACCCAAAACAAACACGAACCAAACATGGAAATTGAATCCAACTCGGACTCCATCTTGGTACACACATCAGGTGGTTTGTCATAATGCACCGGACCATCTAGTGCATGTGTTTTGCATAATTGCATGGCTTGTCAGCTTGGAGGGTGAATACATGTCCCCTGTTTTTTTTTTGGGCAAAGCTTGTGTACAATTTTTTTTCTGAACCAGAATTATCCAAGGACGATGGTAAGTGAGAACACATCAACCATATTTATTCTAAGAGTCATAATTAATTTATTGGTCATAGTACTCGATCAAATTCAAGTAGAAGTAGAAATAACTTGTTTTGGCTTCCACACCTTCTTCATGGATGTTGCTTTTTGATTGGGCTTTGCTGAAATTACCTGCACTTGTTGATCATTCTTCCTTTGCACATTCGTTACAATTTCCTCTTTTGTGTGTGAGATAAGCCTGAGAGCACACCTTGACTATTGAGACGCACAAACCCCAGTCTAATTAAAAAAGATTACATCACAAAAACTTCAGCAGAGTAGGGTTTTCAATCTTTCGTAGGCAGTCGACTAAGGGTAGCCATAACACCGTCTTTAGGGCTTTAAGTTTGAATAGTTGGGTGAGGTAGCAAGAGAGGGACATCGAGAGTACAGATGAGAGAGAGAGACTCGATGGAGGAGAAATCGAGAAAGGTGGATAAGAGAGGTTTCTATGGTTTTTGTCACGCTAAATGGGCTTGGACCTATATTGCAAAAGTTGGGACCATATAAGGACACAGCTCTAAAAATCGATATCTAGAGGTGGGCCTGTTAAGAAGGTTATCTCTTAAAATGGCTACATATATATTTAGAGGAGGACAACTTCAGAGGTTGCTATAAACTTATTTCTAGGTATGGATTTTGTCTCTTGGAGCCCTTAACTATTTTTAGAGGGGAATGCTCTTCTTGACAACCTATAAAATCAAAATGTGATGTCTACTAAAACCACTTTTGTAGTAATGCATGAAGCTACCAAGCCACCATGCATGGAGCATACACTTCTGCATGAACTGTGGCCTTGTCACTGTATACTGCATGGATCCTGGCTCACAATAACGACATTCGGCTAGAAACTGAGCCGTTGTTGCTCCATCAACCCACCGTAGCTGCACGTGTGCTTTCTACGAGTTCTAACCACAACCAAGCTCCACCTTGCCTCGTATTCACTTTGCACTGACCGTGGATTGCACAATGCCTCGTAGATGCTTAATCCTTGCACCATACTGCCTCTAGATCTATTCTAACTATAAGTCCGATACTAGTAATTAAAAATTGACCCTCACGCAGCAGCATACTACTACCAAATCTCCACCAGCAGAACTGTCAATTGAATCTACCGAGACCAATATGTTAGTCATAGATGACACTAGAGGCACCATACTTCTAAACAACGATTCAACCAAAGCTTACATCTCCGGTGCATGACTATGTTGCTCCTCTTCAAAAAAAAAAACCCAGCCCAGCACTTTGCCAAATACAACTCGAAGTCCTCATGCAATAGGATTTGTATTCTAACAACATTCCAAAAGAGGCCGAATTTGGTGACTCGATACATGTTTGGAAGTCCTAGGGCTGTCCATGGAGTAAATTAAGTGGGAGCATGACCATTGAGAAAGGTTGGAACGTACCGCAAGTTTTCTTCTCTCTAGGAAGCACCCCGCATGAATATTTTAGTTGTACAATCGTATTTCTAGTATCATCTCAGAACTGCTGATCTATAATTTATTACTCACGAAGAAAAGTATTAAGTTCAGATTCTCAAGTTCAGTCAGCTTCTAATTAAGCATCATCCGTAAAACCCAGTCAGTGGCCCCTGAAAGCTCGAAGAATCTACTTAAAATTGAGTAACCTTAAAGCTGAAGGTGTCGAGTGGATAGCTGGCCCAGAAAGGAAAATGGTCGAGCTGTTGCTAGAGAAACATATGCAAGATGCAGTTTATATCTAGGATGGTACTCAAACAAGATAAGATTATTTTCACTTAAGAAACAAATGGATTGTAACATATTACTTTTTATTATAAGAAAAGTACAGAATCGTACGTATCCATCCACACTAGCTAATTACTTTAAACAACAGAACACAAACAAAGAATCAAGGAATCCTCAATGCGTGCATATTTAGCAAACTACTAGTATGTATGTTTGCATGTTCTCTAGAACTGAGCTTGGATGCGGTCAATAGTTTGCTTGTCGACTTGAAAAGCCTTGGCAAGGACATCGTCCGAGATGGATGGCTTGGACCCAAATACAACGCTGGCCACAGTGATCACCCCAGGGTTTTGGCTACTCAATGCTGCAAGGGCCACGGTGCTCTTTGTTCCATAATTGAATTGGAAATGGATCAATCCCTCAGGGAACACGAACACATCCCCTTTGTTAAGAACCTTTGTGAACAGCTTGTTGTCCGGGTTTGATGTGACAAAGCCGACGTACAAGGAGCCCTCAAGCACCGTCAATATCTCAGTGGCCCGTGGATGTGTGTGAGGAGGGTTAAGACCATAGGGTGCATAGTCGATGCAGGCAAGAGAGATGCCCAGGGTGTTGAGCCTGGCAATCTGAGCCACGTTCACTGGTGTCACGGCAGAGCCTTGCTTGTTGGTTGTGTTGCCGGCCATGTGAAAGCCCAGGAAGAAGAAATCCTCAGCAACAACATCCTTTTCATCCTTGCATGGGAGTCCATTCACACGCACTACGTGCAACAGTAATAGAAAGTTAGAAAAATGTATATAGGCGACAGTTAGTTTGTTAATTAGGTAATTGGACACAATTGATGATGACCTATATATGTAAAAGTGAAAATAATAGTTGTGTATATATATATGTGTAGACATCTTATTGGCAACATAGAAGTCTTGGAGAAGGCTTGGATCAGAGGCAATGGCATGAAAGCATGACAAAGCCAAGAGGGCTGCAGCTAGGAGGAAGGCATGAGTCGCCATATCTGCGCTCTACTCTTGTTAACATGAATGAAAGCGAATGATTTGGGGCTCTGAGATGTGAGACGTGTTGGTTGATGAGGTGTCCAAGGATTGCTTTATTGGTGCTAGCTTGTGATCTGATAACAAAAAGCATGAGGGGTGGTTGGTATTTATAGGCAGATAGAAACCTATGTTGCATGCAGGGAAGGTTCGGCAAGAAAAAGTCTTCCTGGAATGCGTCATCACGTGTGTTGGGGCATGGATATGCGAGTAGTGGAGGCCAGTGCAAGTGAGAACTAACGATAGCAGAAGTGTTGAAGTAATGTTGTGCAAGGACAGCCGGCAGTATCTTCGCCCACCATCAAACGAAGGCGGAGATCGTACCACCGCGAGCGGAGGCCGCCCAGCGAAGGCGGAGGCTGCAGTGCCATGGGCAGTGGTGGAAGCTGGCTCCACCATAGCAGGAGGGTTCATGGCGCGGAGGCGACTTTGGGCCAGGAATGGGCTTCCCTTGGGCCGGCAATTTAGGCCCAAGGAGACAAGACGGTGAGAAGAAGGGAAGGTCCAGTTTGCCCCAGGCCACCTGCACTAACAGGAGGATATTCAGGGAATGTACCATAGCAGTTGTAGGACAAAGATGTAAAAAGGAAAAGTAGTGAATAGCGCCCTATAAAAGGGGAGAGCTGAAGCCTGTTTGGTGGGTTGGTGAATGCATTTATTGAACCCTAATTGTGCCAGGACCCACCTACCACTTTCTTAACCCTCGCCTGGGGCATCCGATCGGGCGAAGGCATTCTCTGCATCACCTGCTAGAAAATGCTACTTTCCAACATTGGCGCTCACCGTGTGTTGGCCAAGCAAAACCCACGATGCCAAGAAAAAGAGCAGACCCCACCAGAACACTCGCGGAGCCTTTGACAAGGGGACGACCTAGGCGTAATACCCGCAGCGCTTACGCCAGTGCCCTAGAAGAACAGGTGGTGGAAGAGACCACGGTCGAAGATCAGCCTCCGGCAGTCGAAGATCAACGAGCCTCAGATACCACCCCAGAGCAGGTACTCCAACAATTGCAAGCCCAGCTGCAGAATACACAACAAGAAAGAGACAGGCTGGCAGAAACCTTCCCCGCAAAACAGAGGGCAGCACAGACATCATTGTAGGCAGCAGAGATCAGGCAACAGTTGGCTGTCCTACAGGTGGAGATTCAGAGTATGCAGCCAAGCCAGCCCCAATCTAACATTTTCAACCAGCTCTAGTCAGCAGATCAAAGCCAGCCTAACCCTTCGCCAGGTATGGTTGCCCAGCCAACCTTCGGCACACCGTTCAACTCACCGCCATCCCATAGAGCTATAAATTCAAGCTCCCCACTCTCCGAGGGAATCCAAACCTCACCTTGGCCACCATCTTACAAGCCCATTACCCTACTCAAATTTAACGGAAGATCAGACCCCCGCCAGTTCATCATGAGTTTTGAGACAGTCGTAGCCTCCGCAGGAGGGAATGACACTGTCTTGGCCAAGTCATTTGTCATCACAGCCAAAGGAGACGCATTGGCATGGTACTCAATGTTGAGGCCAAGTTCAGTATATTCATGGGAAGACCTCCAAGATAATATCATCGCTAACTTCAAAGGGTTCACCATCAAATCTCTGACATCAATAGATTTATTTTAGTGCAAACAGAATCAAGTTGAAGCGCTAAGCGATTATTTTTAGAGGTTTGTGCAGCTTAAAGCAAAAGGCACCAAATGTCCTAAAGGATGTGGCAATTGAGGCCGCAATCAAGAGTTTGAGAAGTACTGCATGTCAAATAATGACCTCCAAAGAAGGCTGGAAGAGCAAAATCAGAACAAGCAGTACCAAACAAGTGGCAGGAATGTTCAGAAGGGCAACAGAAGCGAAGGCCAATTACAGCCTCAGCAGACCTCTAGTCAACAAGTTTTTAACATAGAACAACAAGGAAGCTGCCAGTAGTGGCAGCAAATGCCAGAGGCAGAACAAAACAAGCTATCACACAAGCAGTATGAAGGCAAGAAATACAATCAAAGGAAGAACTAGAACAAAAACTAAGAACCAAGACAGCGGAAGCAGTATTGTTTCTTTCATAGTGAAAACAAAGGGCACATCACCAGAGATTGCCTAGATGAGAAGGAAACTCAGGAGAGGATAAAAAGCAGAGAAAACACTTAGCCTCCATCACAACAACCCGCTAGAGAAGTCAACCACATCTTTGTTGTGCCTTCACAGCAGCCATATTGCCCAATCTACCCAAGTCTTAACTCTAATCAAATTCACCCATCCACCTTAGCAGCCGCATACTATCCCAACTTCCTACCTGCATGGCGACCAAGCACCCAACAGCAAGGACAGGCAAGTAATCAGCAAGCAGAAGCCAACCTCACCTACATAAACTTAAGGCCTCCACACATAACATACATAGAGACAAACTAGTCAGCTCAGGTCCATAATAGACAACTAGAAGCACCTCCACCGCCACCTCCACCACAGCTAGCCACCCCAAAAAATGAGCCCAACCTAGAAAATTAACTCAACCCACATACACCACTACCCACCATCGGCATGATACTGCCAATAGCCAGAGGCTCTTCAATGGAATTCCAAACAATGAAGCAAAAGAAGGATCACCTCAGGCTCATCAACAATATAGCAGTCCAAGGCCCAGTGCGCTATACAGATTGGTCGAAGTCACCAATCACCTTCTCAGAGCAAGACTTGCAATTAGAAAGTTACCCCCATACCGACGCTATGGTAATCAGGGCCAACATAGCGGGTTGGGAGATGAATAGAGTTCTCATAGACTCTGGAAGCTCAACAGATATTATCTTTGTTAATGCCTTCGACCAGATGAAACTAAGCAGGACCCAGCTGCAGCCTTCGGATTCACCACTAATCGGTTTTGGGGGAAAGAGGATTGATGCACTAGGGAAAATATCCATGCCAGTTTCCTTCGGAGGTCAGGAAAATGCAAGAACAGAATACATAACCTTCGACGTAGTGGACCTCTATTACCTGTACAACTCCATCTTCGACAGAGGGTTTGTGAACAAGTTCAGTGCAGCCACCCATATGGGTTACTTGTGCATGAAGATGCCAGCTTTGCACGACACTATCACAATACATAGCAGTCAGAAAGAAGCAAGAAACATAGAAAGAGCTATCTACAAATCATGGCAAAACATCAATTCTATTGATTCAGCAAAGAATACTAAGCCAGAGCCTCCGGACATGCCGAAGGGCAAAACAAATCTCAAAGATCAAGAAGAAACAAAGTCAGTCCCATTGGAAAATGCAGTCCCAGATAGAAAGGTCACCACTAGAGCCAACCTATCGAAGGCAGAAAAAACAGAACTCATAGAAACCTTAGCCAGGAACAAAGATGTCTTCACCTAGTCAGCCTCCAACTTGAAGGGAGTCAGTAGGGACATCATACAACATTCCCTTGACATCAACCCCAAGATGAAGCCAAAGAAGTAGCATCAAAGGAAAATGTCAGAGGATAGAATCTTAGCAGTGAAGGCCGAAGTACAGAGGCTGTTGGACGCAAACGTCATTAGAGAAGTCAAGTACTCAGAATGGCTGGCAAATATAGTGTTGGTGCCAAAGAAGAATGGAAAGATGAGAATGTGCATAGACTTCACAGATCTCAACAAGGCATGCAAGAAAGATCCATTTCTGCTACCAAGGATATACACCTCCGTCGATAAGGTAGCAAGATGCAAGCGCTTCTCCCTACTGGATTGTTTCTCAAGATATCATCAAATTTGGCTCAACAAAGAAGATGAGGAAAAGACAAGTTTTACTACCCCCTTCGGAACTTACTGCTACACCAGAATGCCCGAAGGACTAAAGAATGTAGGCTCGACCTTCACCAGAATGATGAAGGCAGTCCTTGGCCCACAATTATAGAAAAACATCATAGCTTATGTCGATGACATCATAGTAATGAGTAAGAATGAGGAAAATCATATAGCAGATCTAAAGGAAACCTTCGCCAACCTTAGGGAAGCAGGCCCAAAGCTAAACCAAGAAAACTATGTTTTCGGCGTCAGCCGAGAAAAGATGCTCAGGTACATCATAGGACACAAAGGTATTCGAGCCCACCCAGAGAAGATGAAGGCTATAATCTCAATAGTGGAGCCATCAACCAAGAAGGAAGTGCAAAAACTCACTGGAAAAATAGTAGGATTGAACAGATTTATCTCAAAATCAGCAGAACGTAGCCTCCCATTCTTCAAAGCTCTAAGAGGCAGAGACAAGGTGGAATGGGAGCCAGAGCAGTCGGAGGCCTTCTAGCAACTCAAAATTACATGGCCAGCAAACTCTTGGTAACAGTACTAGATCTGGAGGCCCCACTACTATTGTATGTGGCAGCCTCTGACCACGCAGTTAGCGGAGTACTTGTTTAGGAGAAAGAAGAAGGGTCGAAGGTCATTCAACAGCCTATCTACTATATCTCAGAAGACCTATTGGGAGCAAGGCTGAACTATACAGAAATCGAGAAAATTGCATACGTTGTACTCATCTCATCAAGAAAATTAAAGAACTACTTCCAAGCACATGAGATCACAGTGCCTTCTTCGCAAGCACTCGGAGATGTGTTCAACAACAAAGAAGCCTCTAGAAGAATAGGGAAATGGGCAATAGAATTATCCCAATTTGAAATCAGCTATGTGCCAAGAACAACAGTCAAATCCTAAGCATTAGCAGATTTTGTGGCAGACTAGACACCTTCGGTACATCAAAACCCATAGCCTCAAACCCAAATCTGGACGCTCTACACAGACAAAGCATGGGGGCATTTGGGAGCTGGGGCCTCCGTCGTTTTGGTACCACCATCAGACCTTCGTACAAAGTATGTAGCAAGACTAGAATTCAAGATAACAAAAAACATAGCAGAATATGAAGGCCTCATATTGGGCCTCAACAAGGCAAAGGCACTCGATGCAAAGACTGTGTTAGCAAAAATAGACTCCCAAGTCATGGCAGGACAAGTTGAAAAGG